TAATAAAAATAAAAATCAAGGTGGAAATAATAATAATCAACAAAAAGGAAAATATCCACCTTGTGGAGTTTGTAAGAAAACCAACCATCTTGAGAAGGATTGTTGGTACCGAAATAAACCACAATGTAAAAATTGTGGTAAATTCGGTCATGTGGAGAAAAATTGTCGTGCTAAAGGATATCAAGCAAATTTCTCTGAAGAAAATAAAAAAGAAGAAAATTTGTTATTTTATGCAAATCAAACAACTTCAGAAGAGAAAAATGATATTTGGTTCCTAGATAGTGGCTGTAGCAATCATATGACCGGAGATGAGAAGAAATTTAAGAATATAGATAGATCTGTAAAATCACAAGTTCGGTTGGGAAATGGAGATCTAGTAGAAGTTGAAGGCAAAGTCTCAATAGAAGTCGAGACTCAAAAAGGTACTCGTCTCGTTGAAGATGTGCTGCTAGTACCAAAACTTGATACTAATTTACTCAGCGTGGGACAAATGGTGGAAAGAGGATACACACTACTCTTTAAAGACTACTCTTGCACCATTTATGACAACAAAAACAATCCCATAGCTGTAGTAAAAATGCAACAACGGAGAAACTTTCCGCTCCGTTGGAAATTCATAGAAGCAGCACTAAAAGCCGAAGAAGATCAATCCTGTCTATGGCACCGAAGGTTCGGGCACTTCAACTTCAACGGGCTAAAGTTACTCCATCAGAAAAATATGATGAAAAATCTACCGGCCATCCAAATCAACGAAAATCTCTGCGAAAAATGCATGGAGGGAAAACAACATAGGAAACCATTTCCTCCAAGCCAAGCAGGAAGAGCTAAACAAATACTGGAGCTGGTGCATACAGACGTGTGCGGTCCAATGAGAACGCCAACCTTCGAGAAGAACAGGTACTTCATTCTCTTTATTGATGATTATACAAGAATGACTTGGGTGTATTTCATGAAAGAAAGGTCCGAAGTCTTCTCTATTTTCAAGAAATTCAAAAACCTCGTCGAAAATCAAAGTGGAAGAAGAATCAAAGTACTTCGGAGTGATCGAGGAACAGAATACACATCCAAGGAGTTTAACAAATTCTGCGAGGATGAAGGAGTCAACCATCAACTAACTGTCGGCTATGCTCCAGAGCAAAATGGTGTGTCAGAAAGGAAAAACAGAACTGTACAAGAGATGGCCAGGACAATGCTCGCAGAGAAGAATATGCCTAAAGAATTTTGGGCAGAAGCTGTATACACTGCAGTCTATCTACTCAACAGGTGTCCTACTAAAGCTGTCCAAAATAAAACTCCAATAGAAGCTTGGAGTGGACGAAAGCCATCTGCCCAACATTTACGAGTCTTTGGGAGTATCTGCTACGTACACATCCCAAAGGAAAAGAGGCACAAATTAGAGGAGAAATCTGAAAAAGGCATATTCCTCGGCTATGCGTCTCAGTCTAAAGGATACAGAATTTACATTCTCAAGACTGGTAAATTAATTATCAGTCGAGATGTTGAGTTCGATGAAAATGCTGCGTGGAACTGGAAGAAAGAAAAAGTCGAATACCAAAATATCATGGTACCTACACAGCGAAGGCAAAATACCATACCAGGAGAACATGAAGATGAAGCAGAAGGTACACAATCACCTCCAGCTCCACAAACTTCGAGTCCGAGGACAACAACACCATCAACTGAAGAACAGTCATCCCCAGAATCACCTCCTAGAAAAGTACGAACACTCAGAGAGATCTATGAGACATGCAATTTTGCCACGATTGAACCTGAAAGCTTTGAAGCAGCAGTAAAGGAAAAAGAATGGGTAAAAGCCATGGAGGAAGAAATCAGGATGATCGAGAAGAATAAAACTTGGGAGTTGGTCGATCCACCAAACAACAAGGAAGTCATTGGAGTTAAGTGGGTCTACAAGACAAAACTTAACCCAGATGGCTCAATCCAAAAGCATAAAGCACGGCTAGTTGTTAAAGGGTACTCACAATTGCCCGGAATCGACTACAACGAGACCTTTGCTCCAGTTGCTCGGCTAGATACTATAAGAGCTCTAATTGCACTAGCATCTCAGAAGAAATGGAGAATTTACCAGCTCGATGTTAAATCTGCATTTCTCAATGGCTACCTGGAAGAGGAGATCTATGTCGAACAACCTCAAGGGTTCGTGGCAGAAGGACAAGAAAATAAAGTCCTAAAGCTAAAGAAGGCACTTTATGGATTGAAACAAGCCCCACGAGCTTGGTATAGCCGAATTGATGACTATTTTATCAGTCATGGATTCAAAAGAAGCAAAATTGAACCAACACTCTACATCAAGACCCAAGGTAACGACAACAAACTCATTGTTTCTCTTTATGTAGATGATCTTATTTATACAGGGAACAATGAGGAGATGACTAAGGAGTTCAAAGAAGATATGATGAAGACTTTTGAGATGACCGACCTTGGGCAAATGAACTATTTTCTCGGTATTGAGGTGAACCAAGAAGAAAATGGAATATTTATCTCACAGAGGAAATACACAGATAATCTACTAAAAAGGTTCAAGATGGAAGGCTGTAAACCAGTGGCTACTCCCATGGTTGCGAACGAAAAATTCAGCAAAGATGACGGTACGCCAAATGCTGATGCATCCATATACCGAAGTCTGATTGGAAGCCTACTATATCTAACGGCCACAAGACCGGATATCATGTACGCTACAAGTCTACTATCAAGGTTCATGCAAAATCCAAGCCAAGTACACTATGGAGCCGCGAAGAGAATACTGCGATATTTGCAGGGTACTAAAGACTACGGAATCCAATACGAATATAACGAAGAGCCAAGACTGATAGGCTACACAGATAGTGACTGGGCTGGATCAACTGATGACATGAAAAGCACCTCAGGCTACACATTTTCACTTGGCTCAGGCATATTCTCGTGGTCATCTAAAAAGCAAGATTGTGTGGCACAATCCTCAGCAGAAGCAGAGTACGTCGCAGCAGCACTAACGACAAGTCAAGCTATTTGGCTTAGGCGTATTCTTGGATATATGGGAGAACAACAAGAAAGTCCAACGGAGATTTACTGCGACAACAAGTCAGCGATAGCAATGGCGAAAAATCCCGTACATCACAGCAGGACTAAACACATTGCTATCAAATACCACTTTCTACGTGAAGCAACTAATGACAAGCAGATAGAGCTCAAGTATGTCGCCACTGAAGATCAACTTGCGGATATTTTCACAAAGGCTTTATCAAGACCAAGATTTGAGACTTTGCGCGAAAAACTTGGAATTATAAAAATGAGCATTAAAGGGGAGTGTTAAAAATTAATGCTCATTATTGGAATAATCTAGAAAATAAAATTAATGATGATAGTTGGTTGTTAATAATAAATTAGTTAGTAGTTAACCGACTTAAGGTGGTCTAGAGTTTTCCTATAGCTACTATATATATTGATGTAATCAGATGAAGTGTAGCTAAGGGAGAATTAAAAAAAAAAAAAAACA